ACCGAAATGAATGTAGTTCTCGGTACACTTTGGCAAATAAATTATTGCATAAGTTAATAGAAATTTTTGCCATATTTTCAACCACTTTCGATAAATAAAATTTTACAAGGCCAAGTAATAATGACATGGTAACGATTGCAAATGTAAAAAATGATTTTTAACGGATGCACGATGAAAGGGAAAGACAATGTCTTTGTTTATTTTCACATATTTTCATTTCTCTATCGTTATTCTACTTTCTTAAATTTCTTTTTTTCTTGCCTTTTTTCTTTTTTTATTTACTATTAGGATGATTGTTTTATCCATAACGCAAAAACTTGAGCTCATTTATTAATTCTGCATAAGTGATCAGAAATGAAACACGCATTATATCTTATAATATTTTTAGTTGTTCTTGTGGAGTTCCTTTAAAAAGCAGCCGCTCTTGTCAGGCCCATATTATAGTATGTTGGTAACTCTTTACACAAAATAAAAGCAAACCGTAGGAAGAAAATTAACATTCAGTTTTTAGTTTGTCAAAGACATTAAGCATTTGTTGTTCAATTTTTGATTTGCGTTTTGCATTAAAAAAATATAATGAAAGAGTAACGATATTTATTCGAAGTTTTACAGTTTATTATGGGTATTACTGAAAAGCGCTTGTGAAACTATTCAAACATACTATTGTCCATTGTTTCCACTGTTTAAGGACACTTATCAAGAAATTTAATACTCAATGAAACCCTCCAATAAGTACATACATATATGTCAAGAATGTGATGTTGTCATTGTAACCAAAGAAATTCTTGAAATTAACTAAAACTAGTCACATTAAATTAATTATAAATGAAATCTTTACTTTTTTTATTCAAGTTCGAATATTGAAGTGCAGAGTGGAAGTCTTTGTAACAGCGACAAAAAATTATAACGTTTTTTTTTATTCGCATCAATGTCGCGAATGAATAAAAAAAACCTGATATTAACATAAACCCTTACATACATATTAAATCGATGATATCTCTCCCCAAACAAACCAACCAATCGGGTAAAATTAACGAAAAAGCAATTGTGTAAAGTATTTACAAGATGCGTTAATTTAATATTCAGATATGGTTACAAAAGTTATCATCACTATTACCACCTAATTAATTAATAATTGAATTTACTTTTAAAATTACGTGAAGTTTATAATCGACATGATTATATATGACCATGTGCGGCCCGGCAATTACTTCTAAACATTTCGTTACTAACCTAACCTACTAAGCACTTATGTGTGCGCAATAATCATGCGAATTAAATACGTAACAGCATCTCGTAATAATATGATCCTTGCAAAGTTGCTGTAACAGGTGATTATCTTATCTTTTATTATTATTTAGTTCTACATATTTTTCCATTCTTTAATACTTGTGGTAATATTTATCCATCATTAGCCAAAAATCTGGACAAATGTTTACTTTCAAATTTATGGTATAATAATAAAATTTATTACTAAAATTAATTAAATGTTGAAAACCACTAGTAATTAGTAAAGGTTATAAAATTTATAATCCAGTTTATTCTATCTGCGATTGTAATCGCTATTTTTAAAAGACAAACATAGCTAATTCGATTCGTCTATTTAATTTGCAAACAAGAAAAATAACGTGGAGGTCTCATTATGGTCTTTTATTATTTTCCCTACGCATAGGATGATAGAAACATTAATATTAAATATGCATGCTGCAAGAGATATTGAAAGACAAGAACAAAGTTTTTCGGCTCGGCTTTGTCGTCAATTTTCGAAAAAGAAGTTGAAAAGTTTTTTCTTAGTATTCCGTTCGTATAAAAAATCTGTGATCACTTCGCGAAAATGTGAAATATTCATTTAATTTACTTTAATGTACAAGGAGGTGATTAGTTTTGACAATGCTGCCACTTAAGCAAAAATATTTTTTGTTTGTGTAATTAGGGGGTTTGCGGTATTCTAATTTCTTATTGGCTTAGTGGATGGTTTGAATCTTTTCAAATATGGGGCAAGAAATTCGATACAGTCTGGAGTAAATAATGCCCAAATTTTCCAATTGCTTCTAAAAGACCGTCGTCGAATAAATCCCTGTTAGGGAGTTACAGATTAATGTCTTGCCTGTTGATTACTAACCTGTGTAATGTACCGGATGTGAATATGAAATTCAACTTATTTGTTTTCCGTAGAAAACACCTTAAATTGTGAGAAGTGATAACAAGTGGTTTATAAAAAGTATGCTTTATCGCTAGTTATTTGTATTTTTCTCATTCTTCCGAACAATTCGTCGATAGTAAGAACTATGCACTTTCATTATTCTTAGCATAAAATGTTCGAGAAAAGAAATTTAGGAAAGGTCGCAATTTTCGGGTTCTGAGATTGCAAGTTAACGGGAAAAAGAAATAATAAGTTTATTGCGGTAAGAAAAGACTCCGCACCACATTTCAAAATGTTCAACGTGTTCTTCTCGAAGCCCGATTTTTCAAAGCATCCTATAGAAAAGCTCCTGTAATTTTCATCCGAATTTTTTGTACTACCCTTAGATATTCTCTATGTTTATACCCATCACCGAACGACGTTTGCAGAAGCTAGAAGGAACCATCAGGAACTCCACAAAGTATATACATTCTTGATCAACCTCAAATTCTAAATCGATTTAAGCATGTCCGTCCGTCCATGCGAAAACCTCTGTCCTGGGTGCAAAAGTGAAGTTGTCGACTTCAAATTTGGCAAAAACATTGAACGCAGGTTGGTGTCGAAAATGAGCTAAATCGCTGGAGGAATATAACCACATTAATAAGTAAATTGGGGCTCCTATGCAAAAAGACGAAATTTTGTATAAAACCTGCACCATGTTCTGATTGCCTTGTAAAATAATTAAAGGTCAAAGAACAAAGGTGGCACAAACCAAAGTTTGAAAATTTGATGTAAAAGGCACACAATATTAGCCTAAAACTTGGAACAAATACTCATCGGGATCATTAAAAAATTGGACGCGAATATGGTTGGGATCAAATTAAATCTAAAGTTCCCTAAAGTAAAGTTATTTATTAAGACCTAAAAGTAGTCAATGAACTTGGTGTCGTCGACGAATAATTCGTTAATAGTTACCTTCTATTAAACAATAAATTTTAACAATTTAAACTTACTGCGTAAACAGATCTTTGAAACAACCTAGCATAATATCAATCAAATCAAACAATATCAAAAGATTGATCACAATAAACTGTTGTACAATTCGTACACAAGAAAGCAAGGCTACATGACAAGGCGAAGCCTTGAGCAATAGCCAAGCGGATCCATTCATTACGTATTTCTTAAAAGTAGTAGCTATCTTAAGTATCATTTTGCGCAATGCGTTTCATTTCCAGTGTATGAAATCGAAATAACTTAATAACTAAAGCTTTTTCCCATATTGAAGACTCGTCGATTGTATGTAGCAAAACCTCAACACCTTTCATCGGCAGCTGTACTCATTGACAGGATTGATTTTCGTCTGGTGGGACACAAATCAATTTTCGAGATGAAGTTGAAATTAAAGTTGAAGTATGAAGCCAATAAGCACAGTTCTGGGTGTTCAATAGGGCAATTTTATCTGCATAGCCTCTACATTATATTGCTTTTGGAAGAGTTATTAAAAAGATTTATTATTGGAGAAAAGAGATGTATACTCATTCGAAATGATTCGTTCATAATTTTCGCATGTGCTGCCAGCAATTAAACATATATGCGATTGTTTATAACAGCAGGATAATGACATCTTTTAACTAAAAGTCCTCAGTTGATCTTATGCAAAATAGTTCATTCTCTTGTAATGTTCGTATCTTTTTACATAAGCGAGATGAATTTTTTGCTCAAAAAAGTACACATCTAACAGTGTTACTTCCGTCTTACCTGTATAATCTATCATACCGATTGTATTAAAAGAAACCGGTAGCGCCAATGTATAGATTTTGAATAAAAATTCGCAAGACTTCATTTAAATCTTCGTAAGTGGTTCTTGTGGTTCCTTTATGTTAAACGCTTATGCTATGTGTAATGAAATTCACAAAATGAAAGAAAAAAAAATCAAAGAACACTATCTTCTTTTATTATATATATATTGTGTTTATGATGCAACGGCTTACAGTAATAATAAGTCGAGTGTAGCTATAAAACAAAAAAAGAAAAAAAAGTAGCGCAAACAATAGTAGTTTCAAGTGAACAAATATATAATTAGTTTCTGAATGAAATTTAATCGTTATTTTCATGATAAGCACCGTTATAGAAATGTACATGAGTTGCTTTTTTTAATTTGTAAGCTAAATAATGTAGATTACAGTCAGACATGGTAGAGCTGAACATAATTCTTGACGAAATTAAATACTATTACTGCTATTGTGGACACTTGGCAGACGAATATCAGGGATCGCCTAATCGAAAACTTCGATGGAAATGAATTTTAGTTGTATTATAATTGCCAACAAACACTATTAAATACCCTACGCCATTTCGCTTAATGCGGTGATTCATATAACGACTTTCCAAAATAAGATGTTAGAAGGGAAATGGCCGAAAAAATGGTCCAATCCGAACCTTATCCTTACGGCAACACACAGCAGCATACGTTAACCGGCGCTATGCCAGATTTATATAAAGTGTACGGTTAGTAAATTCACTCTAGGAAGTGTTGAGGCCTATAATAATTTAATTATTCGCTTTGGGAAGGATAAAAACCACAGCCACCATGATACTTCCTAAAACGCCGCACTTAGCAGTGAGGATTAAGTACCGCAGTTACAAGCTTCCGTTCTTAAGGAGTTTCTGTACGTAGAGATAAGTCGTGGAGGGGCACCTAATCCAGGTCGAGTTTAACGTTAGACTATAAACCTTTTAGCATTAGTTTACGCGACCGTAGTTACACATAGGTTTGGATCTACCAAACAATCCCGCTTAACCAAACACAACCTATCTTTTCTCATGGTGCATAGGCGTTGGCGAGTACAACTGGCATGACCTGCGCAATGCTCTCGACTACTGCTACATCAACGTACTTTACAACCCAACTGCAATTGGTTTCCATTTCTTCCACGGCCCTTAGGGGAGTTTCGTGGTGGCTGTGCTTGCCCTCAAAATCGCGGGAACACTAAATACTTGATGAGTTAGATAGGCCTCGCCTCCGCCAGAAGGAAGGGCATGCCATACACATGCCCTTGATCTGGAACTGCAAGGAGCCTCCCTGCTCCCTGTGGGGCGCGAGTGACGTCTTCTCACTCCGTGTGCCAGCGGGCACCGCATAAGGCGCTTGGTTCAACGTCTTGCAAAATTAGGGAAAAACGTACAAATTTATCACTAGATTGTAGACACGTGTATGCGCACTTGGTGTGTAATTCACTTAAAATTTTGGCGCAATTGTTGAAAAATTTGAACAAAAAGTGTAAAAATTCTATTGAAATTATGGTAACTTCGACGATTGCGTATTCGTTAATATTGTGGAAACTCTAGAAAAATTTTTTTATTTTTAGGACGTAAAAGCTGATATTATTTATTACCTGTTCATGAAGCATTTCAACTAAAACTTATTTTTTGAAAAACATTTGTAACTAATTTTAATGACTGATAAGCGAGTTATTAAACCGTTTTAATTATTTATGCATTTATTTTTCTTCGGACTCGTGAACTGAGAGAGAAGAGGAAAAGAATTTGTAAGTTAAAAACAGAAGGATAGATAAATGAGAGCGTGAACCCACGCGAGAAAATTATTGTCGTCAATTACTCATCGCTTTATAAGCGAATCCTTGAACTTATTTTCGAAAATCTCTTTAGCATATCCACAAAAAAAAATTAATACTTAATTTAAAACGCAATCTAAACAAGCAAAAAAAAAAAACCTAACACAATTTTTCTTTTATTTTCATGGTGAAATACCGTTGTGTGGAACCGCGGGCGGGTATGGTTCAAATTTAACTTATCAATCGCTTTATTATTCTCCATCTATTTTAATCATAAAATGCAAAAACTTGTATTAAAAATAAGTACAAATATATAAGTAAAAATACCCTACACCACTTCACCCGATACAGTTATTCACTCGTTTTGATAATAATACACCAAAACTTACAATTTATTTTCATGCAAAGGCGTACTTTTCATGAAAGCCCGCCCAAAGAATAGACCTACGTGATCCAAGTTCGGTAATGTTGAGTGTTACGCCACTATGAAGTAATTTTCACCATGAAACATCAAAAATTATATCTTTTTTATTGCATAAAGGTTCAGTTTTCGTAGGAATGATTATATCAGAGAATAACCAAACCATTATGGAGCGAGTGTTATCTAGAAATTAAAATTGCAATTTTTTTTCATATAACGAATTTTAAAAAAGAGGGGCATTAAATGTGGAGTGGTCGAAAAAGTCAAACGATCCAAACCATTTTCAATAGCGTTCATCCTTGTGTCAAAACACTTCAAATTCATCAAAATATATCAAAAATTACGGCCGACATCAGACGACCGTTTAGATGGAATATGAGTCTGAATCGACGATATAATAAAAGACACATCTATCTAAAGTCCTTGTGTATGTGACAATCGTTCATACAAACTTAACCACAATTGGTATACGATATAAAGACTGTAGTCAAAGAGAGCAGAGCCTAAGGTGAACACTGTCGTGCGTGCGTTGTGTAAGCAATACTTAACACAACTTTTGTAGATCCAACTTTTATAATGCCAATCAAGTTTGAATCATTTTATGAATTGATATAATCACATATGTGTAATATCTGTCCATGTATGTATATGTATTCAAATTAATGATCGCAATTTTTGGTATAAATAAATGCAATTTTTTATGTTGACATGTTTTGGTCCTTGGGGTCGGGCTATTGCTCCGACCGCCCCCTATATAGGATAAAAAATTTTATAATGGCATGCTACATGCATATGCAAAATGGAGATGTGCTGAGAACAATTTAGGAATATTTCCTTATAAAAGGTCTTACATAAAGTAAGAGTTCTTATGACGACATAACCTAACTTGTACAACGTTACGATGGAACTTAGCACAGGATAGTGATTTGGTACATAAATTTACTGTGCTAAATTTGTGCCATGTTGATCTTATTTTCGGGCGTCGTGGTTTGTAAAAATGTTGGCTACTTTTACTAATTACTTTTAGCGCGATAAGATCTAATTTCCAGCTTCTTATAAATAATGATATAGGTGAAGGTGAAGAATTGTTTTAGGCGAAGTACTTTTAATATAATGCATTACATCATTAAACATTTTTAAGTATTACCATGGCATTGAGTATTGGTTAACTTTGCTTCGAGCATACTAATTTCTGTCATATAATAAAATATATTTATTGCATAATATACTGGGCAATAAGTTCCGGGACTAAGTGAAAAAATACATTTTATTTATTGTTTTTTTGTTTTTGCAAAATTTGGCTTTATTCATAAGGAATGATAATATCGTTGCACTCCTCTCTAACATTTGGATGCTTTCTTTAAAAGACGATTTGCAAAAGATGTTAAGATTGCAGCATTTCAGTTTCTGTAATAGCACTGGCATCATTTTAAAATTCGCAAACAGATAAAACTTGCTGAGGATTTTGATCTGAAGAGTGCGGTGGATAGGGCCCTTCGGATTTCAATTCGAAAATTTTTTGTCGTATGGCAGGCATCGATACTCGTCTCGAAAATAAATTTTGTTGTACTAGAATTGAATATTGTTGCAAAATAGCGAAAACGTTGGGCTTTGAGAACTTTAGGAAGCCCTCTAGCGAATAATCACCCTTTGACATCATTAGGAAGTTATACCTTGCAATTCTGCTTTTTGATTATCAAGAATAAGTTTCAGATTTTTCTTTTATACTCATCCCAGGGGTACACTCATTTTGTCAATCGGTTTGCAGCCCCTTGAAGAAAGCTTCAGAGAGCCCACAAAGTATATATATATTGTTGATTAGCATCAAACTCTGAATAGATTAGAAAACGCCCCCCTGCGTCCGTCTATCTGTCTATCTCCTTAATATCTGATTGCAAAAAGGAAGCTATCTGCTTGAAAGTTCTTGCACGCAGGTCGGTATTGAAAATGGGATAAATAGGCAAAAGGGCACGACCACCGTACAACATAATCTGAGACCATTTCGGTTTTTTGATCGTTACTTGCAAACTTCAACTGACGGAACGATGGTGGTCGCGCAGCACTCGTACCAAAAATGTAAAAATCGGCCACGCCTACGCATAGTTTTTTCACTTTTTTGATATTTTGTGCGTATAAAAGATTCGGTCGCGAGCGAATATTTTCTTACCTGTCATGTTATATCTTCGCATCATCGCTGTCTATACGATAGCAGCAAAAGAAATTGTTGCTTTCGATGTGGAAAAGTTTTCATAATATTTCTCAAAAAATAATCTTTAATCTACGCACTTGAAAAATCGTTTTGAAAATAATAGAAATTCGTATAATGTTTGCACTTGAGTTGTCGCTGGAACGAAAGAAGCTTTTGTATAAAGCAGTATAGATTTCTTGTTTAATATGACAGGTCCCGGATATTATTGAGCGAGCGTAGACAAAACAAAAATTTAACACGTCTATGCTAAAGTTAATGATAATAGTTAATTTTAAGTAAAAATGAAATAACAAATGTTTATTTGTATGACACGTAATTGTTTTCAATGTTTATAAATATATTTTTCTTTTTATTGTAGAAATAAATGAACGAACAGCTAGTAGAGGTCGTCGTACAAGCTTCTTCTCTCCGATCGATAATCAAAAGTCATCACTCGCACTTGCGCATGGAAACAAGCATGTAGCGCAAAAAGAGTTACTAACTACCATAAGCAAAATAATGATTTTAACATCGATACGTAGTTGAGAAGTGTGGAGGAAAAGAAAACAAAATTCCTTTATACTCCATGGCTAAGCAAATAAAAAACATGAAAAAGAGCCAAACGAACAAAACTAATACAAACGCGAAAAGTATTCATCATCTAGCTTGACTTACTACTATACCCAGAACAAGCAAAGGCGTCGTAAATGCATACATAGCATCATCATAGCCTGACGAAAAAAAAGAAGAAGAGTCTTTCTCATCTACATACCAGTAGCGGCAGCATTCCTGTTTTTGTTTTTATGGCAATTAAATACGTTTGTGTTTGTTGTTTTTAGTTGAGAAAAAACTTCAACTAAGTGAATGGAAGTGGAGATATATTCCTTTCAGGCATAAATACAAAACGTTGAATCCATTTTAACAAAAAAAAAAAAAATAAATAAAAGCTGGGCGGCCAAGCAATCCAAAAACATAAAAAAAAAACCAGCAAAATCTTATCTATCACCTAATATTATTGCTTTGTAGCTTTCTTTATTAGTGATCCGTGCATCGTCGCTTAATGGCGATACGATTGTATAACGCGGTAATAAGTAATAGAATGAGAAATTTACGAAATATTAAAATTTTGCGATTTTTAATCGTTTTGACTGCTGTCATATTCATCATATTCATTTATGCTTCATATTCAACTAATCAAACATTATTACCACCGCCCATGCGTTCGGCAAGCCTGATATCTTATCCCCCCATTAGTTCATTTAATAACAAATCGAGTGATTACGACGCTGCTGTGCCGCCCAGTGCTGTTAGTCACAAAAATAATAATTCCGTCAGCAGTGAGCAGCATACAGCAGACAAGTCTTCTCTTAATCGTACATACAATTCCAGCGATAATTTAAAAGATAGCGTAAAGAGTCACTCGGGCAGTGATTTAATATTTATCAAAAAGATAGTACATCATCGTGAACCAACGATTGATGAAAATGCTAATGACAACGGTCCGGACAGCGATGATGTGCCCGATGATAGTACATTTGGCAACAATAATAACAACAACGATGCACAACAGTTCGAGGAATATTTACAAACGATTGGAAATAATTTGGGTTAGTGAAAATATCCTGCAGAACAAGAATCTTGCTAACCTCTTTGGAGAAATTTAATTCTAGAATGGATGGATGGCAAAATTTCATTTGATAAACTAAAACGATTATAAAGAGAACAAGTTTTATCGGATCTTTCCAAAACATATAAAAATAAGAATGCAATTCTGCCTTATATTAATATCCTTAATATAATGATCTTAAATTTGCCCGGATGAAAAAAGAAGTTGAGACAGACTCATCTTTTATTATACCGATCTACTCAGAATCATTTTCTGAATCGATCTAAGCGTGTCTGTCCGTCTTGTCGCCTTGCATATAACTTACAGGCCGCAGTTTTTCAAATATTTTTATCAAATTTGCTACACTGGCACGTTTTAGCCCAAGGACGAAAGCTATTCAAAACGGTTCCGATCTGGTCACTTTCTCGACCATTTCCCGTAGAACGCCTTATTATGAAAAGTCGTGATATAAATGGCAGTATTGGTGTTGCAGGATGTTTAATAGCAGCTCCCTATAGTGTATTTACTTGTTCTTCTTGATTATTATAAATATTGTTATCGATTGAATGGACCCGGCCTTAAAAATACAAAAACATTAAGCTAATTCTAGAGTGCGTCCTTTCTTCCCTCCGTAAACTAACTAAATAGCGTTGTCCAAGTTGAGCGACATTGTCTGAGTATTTGCCAATTACATAACATCATGGCCGTGTGCAAGCAATGCTTATCTTTTACGTTAAGTAGCAAAAAACGTTATTAATTATTTTAAACGAAAGTGAAAAAATGAAAAGCAATAATTTAACATATTTTTCTCTAATTTAGAAAGAAACGATAACAAGGCAGTGATACAATAGGAGAGAAAACAATGTGAAGGAAATGTATTTTTCTCGTCTTTGCAGGAAACATTAATCAATCTAATGGCAGTGGCGTTCCGATTTCCACTTCGAACAACGCTGAACAACGTCCACAGCGAAGTAAAGACGCCAAGGACAGTAAAAAATTGCTACAGAATGGGATAGCTGATAGTAACAGCAACAGCAACAGCAACAATAATAATAACCTTAATAAAATACCTGAATCTGATGTGTTAATACCGACATCGAATTTGCAAAAATTTATAGAGAATGCCGATAAAATATTAAAAAATTACACAACACAACCCCTCACGGGACGGGATGGAACCGAATCGATTGTTGCTCAATCGGAAACTCTCGCTAAAAGTAAGTATCTTCCTTTTGCAGCCTTCAAGAGTGTTAGGAAAGAACTTTTTTTTTTTTTTTTTTTTTTTTTTTGTTTTGCAAAATCTATTGCAACATCGAAGGTTGAGGACGTATTACAGTTTACCATTTCCGAAATAAGCATTAAGAACTCTATGAAGGTGCGGTTATATTTTTCGATCTGTGAGGACAATCGGGAAATGTTAAAAAACTGGAATGTACATCAACTTTCAAAATACATTGCTAAAATTGTTCAAAACTGGTTCATTCCGAGTTGAACGAAACATTCAACTTTTTTTTATATACAGTAAAAGTTTCTTATTCGCGTGCCGCGAATACGGAATTTCGGTTGGATACCTATTAGCATCCTTTTATTCTTATGTATGTACTTATTAGAATCTGCGAATAAAGAAATTTATAGCCGCGAATGGAGGAATTGTATCGCAATTTTTTAACCCGCGAATAAAAAAAGCCACGAATGAAGGAAGCGCGAATAAGGAACTTTTACTGTATATACCATTGAGATTGATGGTGTTTGTTCGTTTCTTTTTTAGCAATTGTTTACAATTTTCAAATCAAAGCAAATATTATTATTTATTTATTTTGATCATTCGACCAATAAGGCATTGAAAAGGCGACTTTTATTTGCATTCATTTTTCTTCAATTTCTTTTCATTTTTAGTAAGTGAAACGGATCAAGTGCAAGTCGATAAAAAAATATCTAAAGATAATCAGCAAGTGAAAAAGGATGAGGCTTTAGCATCATTGATAGTTAGAAAAACGGAAGGCATGGCCCCACCGATCTCCGTTAAAGTAGCAGTTAAAGGTCCTGCAGCTGTTCTTGTTCACATCAAAAATAGTACGTCAAGCAGCAAAAGTACCATTAAACCAACTGTGTCGTCATCTAAACCGAAATCTCCCAGTGCCGCTGGGGCTGTTAAAATCGATATTTCCACGCCTAAGTTACCGGTTGACCCATCGAAGGGTATACCTACTTATCAAATTTATGAAAGCGGCCACATAATGGACGAAATTGATTTACATTATTTGTGCCCGAAAAATGGTACCAAAGTGAAACTTTTAATACTCATTACGTCGGCTTTGGAGCATTTTGATGCCAGATTGGCTATACGTCAAAGTTGGGGCCATTATGGAGAACGACGTGACGTATCTATAGCCTTCGTTTTAGGGCGTACGGCCGACGCGAACGTGAACAAACAATTAACCGAAGAGAATTCCATTTATGGCGACTTAATAAGAGGCCATTACATAGACTCGTACAACAATCTTACGCTTAAAACGATTTCATCTTTAGAATGGGTTGATCAACATTGCCAAAAAGCTACATTTATTTTAAAAACTGACGACGATATGTTCATTAATGTGTCAAAATTGCTATTCTTCTTGGATAATCATGCCAAGGATAAAAAAACGATTTACGGACGTTTGGCAAAGAAATGGAAACCTATACGCAATAAAAAATCAAAATATTATGTATCTCCTGGACAATTTGGAGCTGCAGTTTTTCCTCCCTTTACCACTGGTCCGGCATACGTAATGACCCGTGATATTGTACACGACGTGTACGTGCAAGCATTGCGTCAAGTGTATTTCAAATTGGAAGATGTTTTCACTACGGGTATTGTGGCTCAACAATTGGGCATCAAACGCGTACACATCAATGATTTTCTAAATCGACGTATACCTTTCAATTCGTGTAACATTCGTAAAGCCATTAGCGTGCACATGATTAAGCCGAACGAACAATTTGATTTATGGAGAAAACTACTGGACCAGACTATTAAATGTAAATAGCATGTTAAATTAAGATAAACATAGGATAAATATTAAGATTGATTTTTCTATATTTAGGTAAGGGCAAGAAGATGATGTTTTCATTCAAGATTTTTACTAACATGATGATTTTTGCTTGTTCGATTATCATTTCTTTAATTTGTAAACCATTTTATAAAGAACGCCAGGGTCCACTACCAGTTTTTATATATTTTTTTTTTTTTAAATTATTCTTTTATTTTCTTTTACTTTAATTTGATTTAAAGTTTTGCTTTGCTTTTTTTTATTTAATTATTTTTATATATATTACGTTTACCCTGGCGGATTTCATATATTTTTTTTTGCTTTTTAGTTTTATTAAAAAGTTTAACTCATAATAACATATGTTGGAGCAGACTTAATTATTTTTTTTTGAGATTTGAATATCATTACCTTATTCTAATCACTCAGATGGTTACACTAATTGATATGTGTGATTGTAGCTACTGGATCAGTAATTTCTTTATTAATAATTTTAGTTTTTTTTTTTTTTTTTTTTTTTTTAATTTTATATGAGAAAGTTTGATTTCCCAGCGAAAAGTAATTTTTTCTATTCAATATATAATATTTTAACTGAACGATTACAATATACTCCTGCATTCTGCATCTAACACTAGTTATTCTCATAAGTGACTTGGTTATTTCATTACTCTTACTAAAGAGAATATGTGTCCGTTTAAAAATTTCTATAGTGTAATTTTACTCTTAAGACTTTTTTTTAATATTCGATCGATATACCAAAACTACTAAAAAAGTGGCGTTTAGCAAAAAAAAAAAAAAAAAAAAAAAAATTTAAATGCAATAAAAATTCAAAATGTTACGAATCCCTCTGACAATTTGCAGGCGCACTTTTTAGTGTGTCAATAATCGGGCATTAAGCGCGCACATATCAACGCCTTTTGAAATCGAGATGCATCTTTTACTTCGTTAGTGCGCCGGTAACAAGATCGAAAAACGGTGGGCCTTTCGATGCATGGAGAAAACTTCTGGACCATCAATTATAAACAATTTATCGATTGAAGACTTATTTATGCCAAATTATAAGATTGATTTTTCTATATTTATCAAAGAAGTTGAAAATGATGGAATAATTTTATTAAATTAATTTTTTATCTTGTGATTGTTATTATTTATTTTTTTTTTTATACAAATTTTCGATTTTTCTATAACATACGCTGTTTATTGCAATTGTACTATTGTTTTTTATACCCATCACCGAAGGATGAAGGGTTTACTTATATTCTGGAAATGTTCGCAACGTCCAAACGAAACTTTCAGCGACACAATAATGCATATATATTCTTGATCAGCATCAAATTCTAAACCATGTCCGTTTGTCCATCTGTCTGTGTAATGTCTGCGGTAAACATTCTCTGGGTCACAAAAATGAAGTTACCCTCTTCAAATTCGCTTGAAACCATTGGGAGTTTTTGCACGCAGTTTAGTAGTGAAGTTAGTAATGAAGATGAGACAAATCGGCCCGAAGAACACGACAATACAGTACAACATAATCCCGTTGCTTATAAACTACAATAGATGCAACGATAAAAATATGCATTTGAGTTCTGCATTGGGTCCTGCAGCATTTGTACAAAAATAACTTAAACAATTTTTTGGCACTTCTGCTTTTTACTCATAAGACAAACCAGACAGAGCATTGCAAATTCTTCTGCACGCACCTCACATGGAAAATGTGTTAATTCTAAAATAAATGTGGTGGACGCCGCAGCACGGAGGATTCGTTTTTCCTAAGTAACATTATCAATTGGCTGTCAAATAAAAGCACTTGGAGAATAGAATGCGACAATCTATGTGTTAACTCTAAGTTAAATATCGCGGACGTCATGAAGGTATACGACAGAAAACGGTGATGGATGTAAAAAATTCGGTCGCGGCCGAATATAATTTTCTTACTTGTTTTTTTTTAACTCAATTTGTATTGAATTAATTTTTTTTATCTGATATTTTGCATCAGAGAGAACTGAATATCAAGAGCGCTCAAGAAATTTTTCAAAATAAAAGTCAGTGCGTATCAGGCAATTTTGATGCTTATATTATCAATAATAATAAGACTAGCGTCCTTGACAATCTGACATTCTGGATATGGAGTCGTAATACATCGAACCTTAACGAAGCAAAAGCAATATACAATTCTGTATTTTTAAGAGCATACTTCACAGGCAATTAATTGACAAAAGTGTCCAACGTTTGTTTCAAAATTTAAATTACTAAAACCTCACAGTTTTTGAACTTCTCAGCTTAAGCACCTTTGCTTCTTATTGCATCTGCGGGACAATAAGTTATCCGGCGTCTTTCAAGCATGAATAATAAATATATAAATAAAACAAAATTTGACGGACGCGACGCTGTTAATTATCAGCCATTTGACTCCGTGCTCTTTCGTCCTCATTATATGTCAGGGCAACACTATAGTGGGACGCGGCCCGCCATTAAATACTCCGCATGACTTCGTTTAATAAAATCTTCATATATGGGGTGGTCGAAAAAGTGATCTGATCCGAACCATTTTCAACAACGTTTGTCCTTGAGTCGATGTACTAAATTTAATTAAAATATCTCAAAAACTGCGACCTGTAAGTTGAACACAAAAATGAAGACGGACAGATAGACGGAGAGAAAAACTTAGGTTGATTTAGAAAGTGACCTAATGTACTCTTGTACGACAATTGGTAGTGCAGACCATGAGAAGCGAAAAAATTAATTAGCAAATGCGATCTATTTTCGATAAGTTTTAATAAATAATTTTTATAGGAATGAAAGAGGAAGCAATTAAACGGCTGGGAATTCATAATGCTTCACACTACTGCTGTCGATAACACAACCGTCAAAAATTTCTGACTGACTACCATTTATTTTGAAAAGTTTCTCTTTGATTATGTTTACTACCCCAGAATGTATGCATTATGGTCATTTCAAAGCTCCCAATAAAGGAATGCACCCATTCAAAATATTCGCAAACTACTTTTTAAATGAATCAGTCTCTGGTTCTGTCTGCTTAAAATATTGAATGGGCATACAATTTGCCTAATACAGGCTATGGATGTATTCTATCATATAGTCTGATTTTTCCAAGTCGCATTATAAAAACCTAAGACGTTCACAAGTTAAATTTGTAAAGAATATATAAATGATATATAAATGGTGATAGGTATCAAAAAAAAGTTCGGTATTAAACGAATATTTTTATGTTTTAGCATTGAAAATGCCATTATTTGTAGTGAACAATTACCTTTAAGGAATTCGAATAGTTATTATATGTGAATTTTAGCGTTTACGCATTATATATAACAAGACATCATTAAATATAAACAAAAATAATCATAAGTTAATGAATGAAAATGGGATTTTGTTTTATTTTAAGGAATGTTTTCTACTTCTGCATTTTACAAAGGGGAGTAGAATAATCGAGGCGATGCAATGGGCAGTGCACGCCATCTTTTAGTATAACACATTTTTGTCTTCATAGCTGTGCAGTTATGGCTTTTTATCTAGTCGCGTATTACTTTCTTCCTGCAATGTTTAACTTGACGAAATATTGATATTTCATATGATGTATGATGAATATTCTATAGAAAAATATATTTTATTCTAACCAACGCAATGGATGATCAGCTCTTCATCTCATCATTTATTGTTTTATCTATTAACTGTTCATGTAAATAAAATGACTGATCGAGTTTCTTGAAACGTAAGAAATCGTATAATTATCGGAATTGTAGCAACTACGGCGTACGGTCTTAATTGAATTATATTCATTTTTGCGTCCCATTGAAAAGCTCCCAAACACATTGACGGCTCTATATTGTCCGCTAATGGGTGATCCTTGTGTTTTATATAAGCATCTAAGATGTTGGAGAGCAATTTATTCACTGAATAACGAGCGGCTTCAATAGCCAGCGACAAATAATATTTACAATAATAATAATAAATAAATATAAGCCCCGCTTGTACATAATATACATAAATATATAATTAATTCTGCAAAAGAATTGCAAAAGAAAAATGTATTGTGATTACTGAATTTTATATATAAAGACGACCACAAACATATCATTGGCCTATGAAAGCATCGCATTCTGTTGAAACGATGGGTGCAGGTGTGTGCTTGTTTTTTAATCCAAAATGCAAAAGAAATAATTAAATAAATTGTAAATAATAATAAATAAGGATAAATGCAGACTTACTGTCGGCATACACCGAATCCTACATTGCATCTTCTGGCCCCTTCCAATTTCTTCCTGTTAAAAATATTAAGTATATAGCCGAGTAAATTGGCTGTATGGAAACTGCCGTTTTTACGAGAAACTGCTACATCAGCAAATTTTTTTTGAATTTTGTGTAGAAATTTTAGCCCTTGACGAGTTTCCCCATGTGGAGATCTCTCGTTCAATATGTTCGAGGATGTTGATTGCCTTCGTGCTATCTTTTTTTTTTGTAAAAATGTATGCATCGTCTGCGTAAAGACAATGTTCGATTCTAGGTATACGGCAAAGAATTTTGTTAATTACGTTGAAGGCGATCTGGACAGAAAGAGGAGATCTTTGCGGAATGCCATTCATTAGCGGAAAGGAATCAGAGAGGTGATTGTTGATTCTAACTTTAAACCGCCGATGCGACATAAATGATTTGATGTAGTTGAAGAATCTGGGTCCAACATTCCATGATTTCAAGAGTCTTAAAATAACATGAAGACCAACTCTGTCAAATGCTTTTTCAAAATCAATTTACAGAATTGTTACATGATTCCGTTCGGAAATTGCTTTGCTTGTAAGATAATCAATACGTAAAAGAGCATCGAAGCACCCTCCACCCCGCTTAAAACCAACTTCTTGCTTTGTTATCACGTTCTAGGACTCAAGAAACCAAGATAATCTAGATGCCATAATCTTTTCCAATACCTTTGGGAGGCAAGATAAAAGAGAGATTAGGCGATAATCCGGTGCGATGGAGACATTTTTTGACTTAGGGATTGGAACGACTGCGGACAGTTTTCGCATGTAGGATATATGGCCAGTCCAACATACCGTGTAATATAGGTCTAACAATTTCCTTTTACTTGAATTAGACAGAGCACCCATCATTTGGTATGAGATGCGGTCTAGATCAGGTGTAATCCCCTTCGATTTGGAGGGACAATATTCAAATTCTAACGTACATATACAATTTTCCAGGGACATGGCACATCTGGCAATAGCATTTGAAAGAGAAATTGGAGTCCTTTTATTTTCGATGAAACCACTGGATATGTTGCTATCAGATAAGTATTCGCACCACACTTTTCCAAAGTAATTAGAAATCTCATCTGCGTCGATTAAAGTTCCATTGGTGTATTTCTGTGAATTCTTTTCGAAAAAAGTTCGAAACTGAGTGCCTTTGAATTCAATTAATGCCTTTGAATTCAATTAATGCAATCAAACTATAATGTCAACAAAAATTCTTATTAAAGTAAACTAAAAATTACAGATGTCAGTTTTTCTTTGTTTTTTTCAATGAGAAATCTTTTAGTTTATTTTCAATGTTTGGTGCTATTGGACAATTTGTTTTGTCGTTTTTCTGTTACTATTCGCGGCATTGCCAGCTGTTTTTATATATTTTTACATTATCAGCTGGTTTCTGTTGGTATTAAGTTGAATTACTTCAAATGCGCCGAATTGCGGAAAATTAATCAAAAAGTTCAAAATGCATTTAACACTTCAAAAGCTTTATTTTCTATTAAAATAATTTACTACTCTCTATTTTTTATTTTAGGGGGATTTCCCAAAGTCTGAATAGTCTGCTACGAAAACGTCACATCCAAATAAATGAATATTAAAATATTATTTTTATTTATAATTCTAAAATTAAATAATATTAACGTAGTGCGTGATCAATTTTGCTATTGTTGAGAATTAAAAAAATTTGAATGCTTTTGTCGATTCGATTCCATATTTCAAGTAAAAAGTAGATGTTTTCCAAATGCGGTTAGAGCATGTAATTTTCCATTTCATCAGCATTAAAAACTTCGTATTTATTTTGATGCGGAGAAAGGAGAATAAATATTTCCAATATTTACATTCTAACAAGTGGTCACTCATTTACTTACTCTCTAAAGTTGTGAAATTCGAAGTTCGCTCACTTATTTACTCTCTAAATTTACTATTTTTTGCTCTATTAATATTTCCTCTTTTGTTTCTGTATTATTATCAATGTCCATTTTCAAGGAATTAACACAAATTAAAACTGTTTTTCGTATAAAATTGATAATTTCTTTTATATATTGAGTTAGCCGGATTGAGCGAATAAAAAGGATATGAAGTGTTTAATGAAATGTTTGTACAATATGGTATGTGATAGTCCTCTATTTATCTTTTGTCTCCTAAAGGCTAAGGTAATGAAAATCCTCCATAAAGAGATCGAAGATTTGAATACCGCTAGAGCTCTACTAAGGAAGAATTGCATTTCTATTCATGCTGTGGCTTATGTGAGGGGAAATGGCCATGACCCGATACGAATGTTTCAATATGGAATATTTTTTTATACCCTCTGCCTGGATGGAGCTGTATTCATATTCTCCAAATGTCTGCAGCATCCAGAAGGAAGCTTCAGATATCCCCATAAACAACATTTGTTCTTGATTAACATCAAAATCTGAATCAAAGTTTGTCAAGCTCCGCGGTAATCATCCCGCTCATAGCAAAAATGAAGATACGAGCTTCAAAGCGAAGGTTAGTAATGAAAATAATGCCAAACATCTCCAATGCAGTACAACGTAATCTGAGAAACTCTTCATTTCCTAAAGCCTATTATTCGTAAATTACAATAATAAAAGTCTTTATAATTTGTTTTAAGATAAAGGTGGTGTTGAAGACAATTCCGTAACAGCCCATTATATTTTCTAATTTGTTCAGCTTGTTGTTGAATTCTACATATAGATGCTTGTTGTGTGTTTCGATAAAAGAAAAAAAAAAAAAATAGAAAATAAATGCCGGGTAATTTTTTCAATCGTCCTTTTTATGCGGCTTCATATCTTAAGGAAGAAAGAAACATAAGCTCTTCTTTCTTTACATATTCGTTATAAAAACTTCTTAAACATAACTTTTAACAAATATTCTTTCCTAATTGGAATAAATGTATATTTTTTCTTTGATTCTCGACAAGAACTTTCGTATAAAAAAACATTTTTCGAATGTAATATTTAATTAAAACTTTTGTATTGAAATTTAAAAAAAAAGATAAAATTATCAAAAAATTGATAATATATTGTACACGAAAATACAAAATTAATAATGAATATATTGCATTCTTTTCGCCGATCGAAAAAGTACAGGAAATCTACGTTTGCTTAGTTCTTTACAGATCAATATCTTCTGTAGTTGTTATTATAACGGTTATTTGCTGGATTGTTCGAATTATTGCGAAAATAATTTGATTGTTGTTGTTGCTTCTGCTGGTGCTGTTGCTGTCGATTAAAAGGTTGATATCTGCTACCAGTAGCGCTGCCACCGGTGTTGTTGTTATTGTTGTAATTATTTTGATATGAATTTTGCTGTTTATGACCGTAATGACCACCTCCATAATTAGGGCGTTCGTAATTTCCAACATTACCGCTGCGCCACGTTCCAGTGCTCTTATTAAAAAATTGATTTGTTTGCTGTCCTTGATGTTGATTTGTTTGTTGTCCTTGATAATGACTTGTTTGTTGTCCTTGAAATTGGTAGTTTTGTTGTCGATAATTGCTGTAATTTTGGCGTTCTTCGTTCCCCTCATTTCTGTATTCGCCGCCTAGACTGTTGTTAAGCAGTCTGTGCCCACCTTGACTTACGTAGGCCTGTGGTAAATTGTGATTAAAGCCAATCTTAGGGCGATAATTAGCATCTTTCGATTCTGGAGCCAAAATGTTTGGCGGATCGATTGCTTTTGGCAGTCTAATAGCGGGGAATATAAAGTCTTCACCATAAGTAGGGTCCCGAAAACACACTGTCACAACATAGTTATCAGTTATGTCGTGCAAATTAATGATGGGCGACGGCAATGTACCTTTTTGTGACACATTCTCTTCCGATTTCAATATATTTCCACGCATTCCATCAACTACAATGAGGACTTCAGGCGTCGTGTCAAACACTTTGTTCCTATATTGCAAGCTTAAAAATTTATATTTAGAATTTCCCCTTGCCGCATACAAACGGCAATCGCCCTGTTTGTTCCGCTTGATTTCCGCTTCTGTTAATAGGTTGTAATACGGTTTCAAAGCTTTAAAAAGTCTTTTCTCGTCTACAAACGGCAGTAAAGCAACGCCTTGCCACGCAAATTTTTTACCATTCAAGTCAATTTTGAAATCTTCCGGATAAAAATCTATTATGTCCGAATTCGGGTCAGACATTAGTTTGGCCCAGGGTTCGGGTACATGGGAACTGCTTGCCGCTGGGAAAACGCCCATCAATTGCTCCAAAGGATTAAAAGGCTTCGAGCCCCTTTCAAATTGTGTTGATAAGCCGGAAATATTTACAAAGTCTGAAGCAAATGGAGCGTAATGATATGGGAAGTACCAATTCCATGAAGCGCACCCTTGATAATAGTACTTTAAAACCCAACACAAGCCGCGCACATATTGCAGGGCAACAGAATAGCGAAAATCCAAATTTTCTTTATTTACATCAAATTTGGACTCATAATATCGGTCTTTAAAACCATCTTCCCACAAACGCACCTCATCATTAGGTTCCTCTTCTTCTTCATCATCATTATTAAAACTAGCTTGCGATGCCGTCCTTTTCGTCCCATGGTGTTCTTGCTGTGGCGTGTTGGTTTGTTGCGAATTTCTTAAACTTGAGGCTTGTTCTTTATAATTATCAATTAGTGGCAATGGATTGTTGCCCTTCCCTAAGGGAGTTAGCTTAAAGGCCCCAGATTGCTCCATAACGTTAGCATTATAACGGTCATCGCGCAATCGTTTCGATTTTTCACGTGCCTTGAACTGCTGTTCCCTCCGTTGGCGCTCTTTAAAAATATGATCTTCCACTTGACCTAAATCGCTTAGAATCAATTGCACTCGCTCCAACTTAACTTCTCCTGAATCAGTTAAGTAACCACCAGTACGGTAGACACACTTTTTATATAGTTCAACTAAACGATCCACTGCACCTTCACGTATTTCAAGACTGGGTAAGTGAGGCAAAAAATCATTACCCACAAAAAAACACATGAAAACCCAATCGTCTAAGACACGTTCAAACTCATATTTGAAGGGCAAGTTGGGCATATCCAAAGTCTTCTTCAGGTACTCCCTCAATACACTCAAACGTACAAAAATAAACTTTACTTCCGCTCCTATTGGCACGTCCGGTTTGAAATCTGCATTTGATACACCGATTGCGTTCAGACCAACGCATTTGTCCATTTCATGACCGAATTGGCTGCAAATATCGCAAGGTTTCGGTTTATTGGGCAAAAACTCTTCACGTATTATGGTAAAATTAGGCTCATGTGTCGCTAAGCCCAACATAATTAAATCAGCGTCCGCTCCGCATAATACATGTTGAGTGTTAGCATCATGGTCGGGCTGAGAGCGCTGTTTCCTTATAAAATCCATTATCTTATGCTCACCCTCGCCTGGAACGTTGGCGTCAGAGAGAATAACTTTAAGATCTTTCCAGGCGGGATTATTGTTCAGACGATCGTGAATATAATAATGCAAGCATTGACTTAACCGTTCCATAAACGGCGTACCTGGTGTAATGCAATTGGAATCGAAATGCTCACCTTTTTCTTTTGCAGGAGGTAATACGAATCCTTTAGTCAGTAGTTCGCTTCGAATTCGCTCGATCTCCAAACGCTTTTCTACTGCTTCTTTGGCTGCCCTAAATCTTCTTGAGCGTTGTTGATTCATTTTGGCTCGCGGAGCCACACCATCAATTGCCATATATAATAATTTCCTAGGTCTCACAATATTCATAAGACGATCAATACAATCAAAAATGGCTATCATCATTTCATCCTCATTTTTGGGAGCGGGCTTATCTTCTGGATGTGTGCATGGGTGTATAATACCATTCATATCCAGATATAAATTATCAAATTCAATACCATTTGGATTAGGTGAATTTCCATCATCATATATATTTTTGCCCGTATCTGGATCGACTTGCTTATTTTCCACACACTCAATTATCACACTAGGATATTTGCGACTAAGCCAACGAAAAAATGCTGGCACTCCCATATCGGAAATTAAAAGATTTTAAATCTTGGTTTAATTACAAGTTTTCTACTTTTTAATGTCTACGTAATTCCTCAGAACAAAGTGTTTTATGTCAATTCTTCTAAAGCTTTTGTGTTCATTTATAACGAACCACACAAAAAACGCATGTACAGAAAAATGTGGTTATCAATAGAGAGCCAAACTTGGATTACCTTCCACATTCCAAAAAAGATGTTATCGATAAATGTTAGCGATGATATTTGAATAGCGTAATAGTTGAAATTGAATTGATTGATTGTAATAGCTTGAACTATTTTATCTTCTGTATATAAATTTTTGTCGAAGCTATTCGTTGCTGATAAATTTGGCTATTTTTCCGGAAGCACGATGAGAGATGTTAGTGCAACAGTTTAATTATTAAAGTGCCTACATATGATTAAAGATTCCAGGTATCCTTTGATAATGTTTCTATTTCCGATTCTTTATTATATTACTAGAACGAAGGAACGTGTTCCATAAGTGAATGGATATTTCGTGACGGACTATAGTTAGGATGGTTTGGCCAGCAAATTGTTCTCAGAACATTTTCTTATAAATTAAGTTTCGCTACGGTACGCTAAGTAGAAGTATTGTTCTAATGATTTTCACAATAAATCTTTCGAATTGATTCCCACAATTTTCTTCACTACAAGGCTGAAAAATATAAGTCTGTTTTTTCTTAGATTTTATTTTTAAAATTTTTAAGATTTCCAAGTGAAGGGTTTCTTTGTTTTCTATACTAATTAATATTAATTTTGAATGTATTCATTCAGGAATCTAAAGAATATGGAGCAATTTCTTAAGACCCTTAAGACAATCGAGTGTATAATCAAATATATTTTCCTCCTTCCACTAAAATAGGTGGCAAGCGAAAGGTCCAATACTTTGGATCGAGTATAAATCGTTTCCCTCAGTATTGTCACTGAAAAACATTTAGAATAATATCCAGGGTTGTGATTATTATTATTATTATTGACCAGAGAACAAATTCTAAGACTAAAAGGGTAACGGCTAACGTTTTGCACTGTAATTTGAAATATCTGTTGTTCATAATCCGATAATATTTTTTTTTTAAATTTTCTGTTAATTCTTATCATATATTCGTACAAGTGCTTGAAATGTAATATATAATCTTGTATATATAAATGTATAAATAATAAGCATTTATCTCCCCTTGTACGTCTCCTGAATAGTTTTATACAATTTTTATAGGCGTGGCATTCGATTTTGCCGTATTTTTTTGAAAAATTTTCTGTTAATTCTTGCCATATATTCGTACAAGTGCTTGAAGTGCTTGAAATATAATATATAATCTTGTATATATAAATGTATAAAAAATAAGCATTTATCTCGATTCACAGTCATCTGAGAGTATTAAATGAGCGGGCCTGAAATCCACCTCAATGAAAGACGATTTTTCTGATGAGTAGTAAACCGTTCAAAAAAAGATTTAATTTTATGATGGAAAATAAATGTAAACAAAAATGTATTCATACATTTATTGAAAAAAAAAATGTAATAATATACGTAAATGTAAAAAAAACGTCATTAATTAAATAAAATGCGAGAAAATAGCAAAAACTAATTTAAACTCGCATGGAGTTGAAGAGCCTTGAAGCATATACATATGTGTACATAGGTATTTTTATATGTTATGTCAATATAATAAATATTTGGCTGGGCCAAAATTAGGTTTAAAAAGTTCAAGTTTGCTTTACCACAATTTCTGCACCTTTTTTTCTGATTTTCTGATGCTGATGTCGACATGGGTAAGAAATTCGGATAATTTCTTTCCACAGATATGTCAACATTCCCTTCTTTGTACGACCCCATGTATTTACTTGAAGATTTTTTCATAATAATAGTTTGGCATAAAACGACTAACGTTACCGACTAACGGTACCGACGTAAGCCTATTTTTTGAATCCCAATGTAAACAACCATTTGTATGCCAAAAAAAAACCCAAATATTTAGGAAAGGAATGGCGTATATAATATAAATTAATATGGCGGCACACATACTTATTGTTATAATGTCGCCAATATGAATTGAATATGTTGTAAACTGTTTATTTTTATTCTGGGCCTGCTAATTCGATTATTATTATTATTACTAGCAAATAAGGAGACACCAACAAGATTCCCAGGAAAATTATGTGAAGGGTCCCTCAAGGGCCTCCTCGGCAATAAATGAAATATATGAAATTGTAAATTCACTTAGCAGGCAATGATAAAGTTAAAGTTAAGGCAGATTTCAATGCACTAAATTTCGTAAAAATTATGCAAGATTTTAATATGATAAATATGATATGATAAATATTTTAAAATTTTTGGGGTCTTTTTATTAAACACTATGCTTATTTTTCAAATAATTTTCTTAAATTCTCTATAAAACTTTAATTTATCAATTCACTATCAAGTCTTAATAAACAATTTATATTCTAAAGTGTTTTAATACACTAATTTTTTTTTATAAATATTGATAATTTTTGATTCTTTTTTTTTAAATTTTTGTGGTAATTTTTCACTCGAGTTCAATCTTTCATGAAGAACTTGTGAAATGGTTTTGATTAGTCGCTAAAAGCCGTTAGCTGGTTTTTTCCTTTACACCTTTTATAAAAGAAGTATTAATGCGGTGAAAAGAGAGAGCGCAGAGTTGCTTTGAATACATAAGAAAAATGTTGAATAAAAAATCTCTCCCATCTGTTAAATAAGAAGAAGTAACAAAGCAGTCGTCAGCATCTCTGTTAAATGAGAAGAAATGGCGGAAAAAATCGTACCGCTGGAAAAAAGAAAATAATTTTCTCTTGGAAAAGCACCATCAAAATCAAATTTTGTTGATACGAAGGAATCAAATTGACCGGATTATTTTTTATATATATTCCACAAGTGGTTCTCTCTTTCATTTCAGTTTGGCGCCACTACCAGGGATTATTTTCTATGCAATATGAAATTATTTCTCTCTGAAACAATGTTACTGTTATTTATCATTCTCTTGTAAAGACTACATCGTAGATCAAAACTTATATCTTCTTGCCGTTTTTATTCAGACGACTAGCAGTTTTAAAAGGTCGCAGTCGCTAGGTGCAGCAATATCGGTTCGATGATGCACCAGTTGAATCTATTATTTAACTGCTTCAATATCTCGGGATAGACGACATAAATCGGCCAATGTTTCGTTTACAGTCTGTTCAAATACCTTCCACTTCAGTATAGAGGTATGGAGTAAAGGCAGTCGTGGAGACCTTGTGCCAAAATAATAACGTATGTCTCCCCATGTTTTGTCTTATTTTCTTTTTCTTTGTTTGCTTTAGACGCTAGTGCTATAAGTCATGTTTTGAATTTATTTTTCGACTAAATTAATTATAGTTTGGAAAAAAGTAAGCAGGAAATAAATTTTAATTTAGAATTAGACTCAAAGTCGTTTGCTTTAAAGGAACCTTTGCAGGTTGTAGAGGCTGATGAAAGCTGTTTTTGTAGAGGTTGATGAAAGCTCTACAAAACAGTTTACAGTGTTAAAAAAAAAAATAAAAAAAATAAAAGGTGGAACATACAACTTTAGATTTAGTGTGTAATTCTAATCTAAAATATTTTAAAATAATAATTTCAAAAATTGGAGAAAATGTAAAACTATTCGTTGTTTTATTTTTATTTTTTTATTTAAGTTCATAGATTTTTTATGAGACATAGCTTATATCTCCACATTAACAAAATTTTATGTAATTTATTTCTCTTTAGAAGGTTTAGAAGATTTTTACGAATATGTCCACCCATTGCGATGAGGAGTTTCACGAAGTCCTCAGCTGATTTTTTCGGGACTGTCCGAAGTTGTGGCTTCACGGGGGGACCAATTAAAGGACAATAAAATAAGTGAGAAGCTGCAGCGTCCAGTGCTCGCAAAAAAGGTGCAAGTCACTTTACAAGAAATCAGGCGGAGTCTGCATTGGCTGCAGCAAGGATCGTCCTTCAATACCTATTGCCTATGGTATGCGCAAGAACTTGGATATATTTGCGGGCCGTTGAGGTGATGTGGAAAATAATTGAGGAGCAGGAATTTCGAGGCTTCAAAGAAGGGGACACCTTAAAGACGCGAAAAGACTTCTTTTAAAAGATGGCGGAAGATGTGAAAGTAATTAAAACTGATAAGTCAAGTAATCAGTGCGACAGTACTTTCGAATCGTTCTCCGAGAAATTTATGGAGGTAATCAATGAGGATTATGACGGATATACGGTTCTGCTACAGCTGTGGCACTTTGTAAGGTTTACTTTGATATGAAAATACAGAGGTCGAGTGCGCAAAAACAAAAAAAAGCAAACAAAGAAATCCCAAGGAAAGAGCAAGAGTAATTGTGAAATCAGAAAACGTGACATTGAAGTAATATTCTGTGCGGAATGCAATCAAATGTTTGATTGTTTCCCTACGTATCGTCAACGTGTGAATAGAGCTCAGGGGAGAGATGACAATTTGAAAGATTGGAATTGTCCTTTATGCGGAAAGATCTTAACTTCTGCATCTCGCTTTGAACAACACGTGAAAAGTCATGTAGAAATCAAACGCGAATTCCGACCTAAAACAATAAATATTAAATTAGATATTACTGGCAGAGAATGTAGTAAAAAGATCGAATGCCATCCACAATTAAACTCGACCCATGACCAACTTGATAACTTGAAGGAATGGAAATGTCCTTAATGCGAAAAAGTGTTGACCTCCGTCCATCGACGGGAACAACATTTAAGAAGTCATGTGCCGCGAGAATCTTAAATGTTATCCTGTTCAGAATGTGGAGCTCACTTTCCAACAAATGATTGCCTAAATGCACGTTATGTCGGTTTAAGGGTGGCTATTGTAAAAGCGCAATCCTTTAAGGACAGCCCTTGCACCAAGCCAAGTCAATGAACGGAAAAATCCCTGACACACAAGCTTAAATATGCTCAAAATGGGGGATTAAGTGATAGCTTCCCATTGCTAATAACGAACACTTCGATTTTTCTTAGCATGAGCCCTTCAATTTTTCTGAACGACTTCATGTTCACTTTTAGTGTGACATTGCTACTATTCATTTTCAGCTTGCAGTTCTTTATTCTTTTTATATTTGCATTCTTTTTTCTCGCTTTTTACATTATTGTATTTATATTAATTTTACTTGCAGGCTCTTAGACTGCTTTGTGATCGAACGGGCATACACCACAGTGTCTTGCTAAGCTGAGTAAAAGGATTCCAAAGTGAAGATGAGTTTCTCCGTTTGAATCTTAATAAAGTTGGTCGATAATTTGTTTGTAAATGTATATAGATATATACGTACGTATTATCATTGTTACGATGTCCGCCACGTAACCAAAGCGTTGTGGTCCTTCCCGACTAGTTATTTTCTTGTTTTATTTTATTATCTCGACTTTTAGAGCGAAATGTTCTGGGATTTTTTTCTTCTGCTGCTGCGAGTCAGCGAATTAACAAACAGATGATTTATTGAGTTGGGTTTTGGGGCTTCATCTACAATACAAAAATTTATTTTGTTATAATATTTTGTTTAAATCAATGTGTTATTTGTTTTTGCGTTTTATACGTCCATCACATTTTTTTTTGCATTTTTTAATAGTTTTTGCGAGTTAAACGCCCGCCACGTCCAGTTGTTTTCAATTGAAAACCTGGACGGAATTCCTTGTTGATATTTAAATTTATTTTGACGTTTCAGTTTGTTTTGTTGTTCATTCCTGTTCACCGTTTCCGTGTCCTATGCATTTGTTAATGCAAGTTGAAGAGTTACTTATGCTTGTCATCAAAATCGATAATTTACGATCTTTGCATTTTATCGTAAGTAAATCATCACTGTTTTTTTCTCATTGCTTTACACAATATTTTCTGCTTAGTTTAGTTTGCAATAAAAAATAAAAGAAAAAAAAACGCAGAAAAATTCTAAAAAAATGTGCAAAATTTTTATAAAGTAATACATTTTTATCAACAAAAACCACTTAAAAAATAGTTAAAAAGATTTTAGAAATTCTGTTAACTTGATTAGAAAAAAACAAATCGTGGAAAACTACGAATTCGTATAACTTTGGAAGTAATGGCGAAAATATTGGTAAGTGTGAAAGAGCAAAAGTAAAAAAGAAAAAAGTCAAGACGTGGTAAATTGATTTAATAGTTTTACATATGTTTAGATGGTACAAACACATACCAAAAACAAACAACGTATAGATTGAAAAACTTAAAAGTATAAACAAATAAACCTTTAGTGAAAATTGAGTAAAAATTAAATTGTCTTAACAAAGATACTACCTACAAAAAGTCTTCTCCTCAACATGTGAAGCGGAATCTGTTGTTGTGCTTCTTGTGCTTATTACTGCATGTCGTATAATGATGTTGGTCGGTGATAGTGGAGCTGCTGTATTTTTTCTTTTTTCAACAAGAATTGCTACAGTGTTCCTTTTTCGTTTAGTACAATTTCGATAAAAGAAATGCAATTTGCATCTGATATATATCTCTCGGTTATACATATATAACATTGGCTAGTACAACATATTAAAGTTTCCTTCTGTTCTGATCTGTTTTTTATTTGATGTATATTTGGAGATACTTTTACTTTTGAAAAGTTAAAGTAATGTTAAAATAAAATTATTTTACTTGCGTAACAATAACATTTTCAATAAAATATATTTGTTTTTGTAAACGTTATAGTTGTTATCAGCTAATCTTTCTATTGTATATAATCGTTAGCTTTACGATTACGCGCAAGCATATCAAACAATAAAGTAAATAGTGTATTTTTTGCAATTGCTGTTGACTGCTGTTCCCTTTTTTTTTGGGTAAAAATTTACTGAATTTTCGTAGCATAACATAAAGCATACATAGTTTTAGTTACCTGAAGCAGAAAGGCTAGCTCGGCTTCATTCTCTTTCTACTGAAACCGCGATCAAGACCTAAAAATTTTGCTTAGAAAAGTTTCGAATGTTCTCATAACTCTTACCGGACTGTTAAATCGAACGTTTTCCCGTGCTAAAACTACTTAATCGCAATTGTCTCTAACTCCTCATTTATTCCTGAATTTCAAGCTTATCAAGTTTTGTTCACACGAGAATTAAAAGAAACAAATTTCTCTGATCGGCTAAAGCCTTTCGGAACTATTATCAAAATAAAGAGCCGTAACAGCTATTAAGACAAACCGCAATATATAAGTTCTTTCTTGTTTTAGTTAAACTTCCAGCTTATTTTTATATTCCCTGTTATGATTGTCTTTTAATAATTTTTAAATAAGAGCTTAAGTTTTTAATTACCATTCAAAATTAAAATTCTTTAATCATTTTTCTTAATAGGTACGTAAACGAACCGCCTTTAAGGATGATATGACGTAGGCTCTATTGTTTCATATCCACTACTACTACTATAGTTTGCTATTGAAATAATCAATGAAATTTTTTTTACGTTTGCACGTAACGAAATATTGCATTTAAAAAACTTACAGTGTGGATGATGCAGTTGCAGGCCTTTTGTTACTGTATGTCTTTTTAGATTTGTTTTTGGCGAAAAGCCAATTTTTTATACTCATATATAAGTATCAGTAGTAACAGATTGACAAAAGGGGTAATAATATTTACTTTAAGATTCGGTAGCATCAGCCAATGGTCCCTTACCGCGGAAAGAAAAATTAATCAGGAAAGGGGAAATTTAACGTGAATATATTCTTAGTAAAAAGTCACAGATGAAGCTTTAATATAAATTTAAATCGCACGGAATGGCCATAACAATGGTACCTATAACCTAACGAAGTAATTAAGCTAGAATATGGTATACATTTTTTGCAGTACTATGTAAAAATTCGTCGCAGAAATAGCCGTGAGCACAATGAATGAAGAAGTTGTTACAAGTATTTTTGAAGATTACATTAAGGGTCAATATAGAAGCGATCATGCTCTCTAAGTAACGTAGCCCTAACTAAGAATATATTTCGATTTTTGTAGATGTGGGTTTGAGATGAAGGATATCAAAGATTGAGTATGTAAAATGTTTATTCTGTACGAAGAGAAATTCTACATACGTTCATATAAAAATAACTTATTGAATAACTTGAAAAGAAAAAGTATATAAAATTATATTCGGGTCTTTTACACCTGTCGCCGTTAAAGAAGAAAAAAAGCTACATTTTCATACGCTATAAAATTGGGAGGGAGCGATTTGCTTTACTTTTTGTTTTTCAGAACAAAAGTGGAAGTTTATACGGTGTGTGTGTTGTACACGGAAAGTAATGTGTTCACAGCTCTTGTTACATAGGTGTGTGCTTTGAAGACTTTGGGTCGTTTTCAATTTCCACATCTTGCAAAAAGATACTGCATATTTGGACAGACGGACATACTTAGGCATGCTACGGGTTTGAAACTGACGTGGAATTTATATCATACTTGGGGTTTTTGAAGTTTGCTTCTGTGCCTTGTAAAGGTTTTGAAAAAAAAAAAAAAAAAAAAAATTATGACACTATAAAGTTGAGTAGACGGGTCCAATTTGTTAAACGCCTTACTTTAACGCATCTAGTCCATGACTTCTTAATATGCACACAAAACGACATGCGACATTCGTTTCACATTTCGGTGATATTGTCTTTGTGATACCTTCGGCGGCTCGCTTGATGCCGCGATTATAACGAGCATGGATTGGAATTTACGTACGGACAATTGTCGCAAGCGAAGGCATATTTTCTTTCCATAAAACACAGCATTATACTATCATTAAAGAACATGCACTGACAAGTTGACACGCGAAATGAAAGTAGAATACATTTGACAGTATAACCTAAGATACAAATTTAGTTATAATTTGTTAGCTATAAATATAAGCAGAATTTTACAAATAAACCTAACGTTCCTTTGAAAAAGTCTCAATTGCATTAATATGTGAATTTCTTACTAATTCAAACTTCGATCGCAAAAACAGACCGTTTCTGCAAAAGCAAATTATTATAGTTTAATATTAGCCAACGACCTTGCATATTGTAATTAAACTGGCGATAGCAACGTTGATGATTGCAGTAATATGTCAAAAAATAAAGTTTAATGGTCGACTAAAATGTGAGGAAGCTTAGTGTCGTCAAGTTTTGTTAACTCATTTGTTATCTGGACTCATTAACGTAGGCAGGACGGCCGCCTACGCTTCTTTTTTCTATTTAATGTTGTTACTACTTTAATATATGGCATTGGATGGAGGTATTTTGATTTCTTACTGCATTTTGTTGAGACTCTCTACATTTGCTTAAATATGGATTAACCGCCACATTTATGCATCATAAAGCACAAAATTTATTAAATTATAAAAGTGCGAAACTGCAGAAACAAGTTCCCGTCCTAAAACATCTAGTAGTTTTCAATAAGCTGTAGCTAATATTTAATGTAATTAAATTTGCGACCGTAAGTTTACGCACCACACGAACAAAGAACATGTAATATATTTTTATGCACCTACCACAGAGATATGGGGATATATTAATTTAATCAAAACGTTTGCAAGCCCAACAATGAAGCTTCAGATATCACATAAAGTGTTCTTGGTCAGTACCAAACTGTAAATCGATTTAAACAGGTCCACCTGTGTAAGGGCTGGGCCAAACCATCCGTGGTCGCAAAAATAAAGATATCGGCTTTAGTTATTGCAAACAGTTGAAAGTTTTTGCATGCAGCTTGGCGTTAAAAATCGGACATGCCCTTAGTGCAACGGAAACAGCAGATCTCTGCTTTTAAAGGCAAAAAATTTGGGTTATTTTCAGACTACTTATAAGCTTCAAGTGATGCAAATATAAAGCTTTACATCTATCTTTTAGAGCGGATTTTTCAGCAGCTGCATCAATTCCTGCGCAAAAATGGAAAAATCAGCGATGCCCACCCAATACTGTCAAATATTAAGGGGTTATTCTTTTGTTAAAATGTCTGTGAAATACGGAACAAAGTTTCAGGACTCAGAGAACCAGAGAGATAAAGTGTATGTATGTGTGTAATGTGTGAAATTCCGAATGCACGAATCCATGCCCGTCTTTTTTTGGTCTGCCTATATATCTGCTTGACAATATATATGGCATATATATATGGTACATTCTCCCCCTTTTCCAAACATTAAGGTGTCATCTTCAAATTTCGTAAAAGCAGACGTGGATAATATAGACTAAGAATACTCAGCATACTTACCTACTATACTTTTTGTATATATGACTGAGATTGGGCGTAACTCAAATTTGCTGTTAATTAAGTAAGGCTTTTTTATTTCTTTTATGTTAAATTTTTTTTCTTTTGTTTTTTTAAAAATTAATTACAAAATTTTGGTAGAAAAAAGAAACAATGAAAAATGTGTTTGCCACCGTACATAGTTAAATATTAGGTCATATTGAAAATTCTGCCCGGTTTTTCCGCTTAGTATTGTTGATGCTTAAATATCGGGCACCTGATTGTCTTAAACGAACATGTGCTTAAAAGGTGATATTTTGGCTTACATTTTCTGTGAAGATGTTTTTCTAATTCTTTGTTCGCGTAAAGAGTTATATTGATTTGGAAATGAGTGAAATGTCTCAAGAAATAGACTATGTGATGCTTTTTTACTATAAAAAAAGGTAAAAACGTTGCAAACAAAAAAAAAAAATATTTGTGTGATTGAAAGAACGCTGAAAGTGACCGAAAGTCCCAGAAGTGGTTTGCTCAATTGTGTTAGGGAAATTTCGGGGACAAAGATGCTCCTCGTAGTACCTAAAAAAGCCGATGAAATTTTACAACTGATGGTGCAAGACCGGCAATGCAAACTGGAGAATAGGCAGGCAGGGAATAGCAGAGGCATTAAGCATCCATCATCTGACAGTTTGACATCAGGCCACAAAAAGGAGCTCGAAACCGCGGAGATTTTTCAATACTACCTAATATAACCATCTAGCTTTACCTGGTACTTAGTTTCAATTAAGGCGGTTGCCTACAGAATACGTTAGCAAATTATCAAAACGACTACGAGAAACTTCTATTCATTTGTTTCCTTTTAATGTGTCCTGTGTGTGCAAAAATTGCAATAACGCGTTATTGCCACTGATGTATTATTGATATTGTTTCCTCTACAGATGGT